CTTTATCTGAAGACTATCACTTTGGTTTTAAAATATGATCTTGGCTGAAAAGATCTTATACTGGAGAGCATGACATGTCTGTGCAATTAGCTCAGATTCCTGTCATTATGGTGTGGACATTATTTTAAAGTGTTAACCCAATTTAACATTATTATATTCTTTTCTTACCTCTCATATGTCTAATGGTTTGTACTTTGTTTCCTCTAACTCCTGGAATCTTTAGGCCATGGTAAGTGCTTTTCAATTTATCTAATTAATATTTGCCAGTCTTCTCAAACATGCACTGCATTTATTCATGGGGTAAAAGAGGGCAAGGTGGGAAATTGAAAAGACAAAGACATACAAGAATAAAGGGTTCTTGTTCTCCAAGAATTTAACATTTAGTTCAACTCTGAAAGATCAAATTATGTACACAACAGGTACAAACACAGACAAAATTTGGGGGACAATACTTGTTGGAGATGGAAGATTATCTTGGGTAAACCCTTGGAGATAATCCATCTATAGGTTCACATGGTAGGGTAGAGATCAGACGAGAGAGACATCCTTACTCAGGTATGTGCTGGATTTTCTCTGAGTGCATGACTTTGTTGACTAAGGAGATATTTGTATTACCAGATGGGCCTAGGGGTGATCAGGAATGCATTACTCCACTATGACTTCCCTTTGCTCCTAATGGATATCAGATTTAATATTTCCATATGGAACTTCTGACTTCCAAAATTCTCTATAGCACTGTCAAATTTATTGTATTGCATATGTTGTAAGTAAGAACAGGTGATGATGGCTCTGTTTTACAGTATGGAAACTAAAGGGACTTGAGTCTTATTTAAGATTACCTAAGTTACCACATTAAGTGAAGAAAATGAACCCAGATATAATGATTCTCAGTAGATAAAATGAACACTTGGAAGAAAATATCCTGACTAGACATGGAAGAACATTCTAGGGAACTGTGAACAACTCAAGAACCATCTAACAACAATTATAATTCAGGAGTTTCGCCCAAATCAGGCTGGCTCTGTATCAGTGGTCAAGTTTTATGAAAAAAATGTGATCACGACCACCATGGGGAGTAACAAAGTCCTAGGAGCCTCTTGCTAACCTGGCAACACTGAGCTAATCATCTTGCCTTGCTGGGCCTCAGTTTCATCATCTATAAAATGCAGGGGTTGGGTTTGATGATCTGTGGGATCTTTTCCAGTTTTAATGTTCTGTGATTCCATGTTCCAGATGAACTAGCTGATTGCTGAAAATGGCAGGCCCCTATTAACTAAAACATGGACAGTAACTGCATATTCTTACATTTTTATCTTCTGCAGAGAATTATCTACGTGGCAACCTCCCCATGTATTAATAAGCCATAATTCTATTTATTTTAGACTTTGGCTGCCCGGAAATCTGGACTCTCCCTGGCTATGGTGATTAGGACATCACTAAACAATGAGGAACTGGTAGGTGCAGTGTCAGTCACTAACTATGTATTGATCATAGTCACAAGAGGAAAACCATTCTGCTTGAGATGCTCATCTGTAATGTTTATTCCAATGTTCCAGGAATAAGTGGGAGCATGGGGAAAGCCTGATTCCAAACAAACTTCCTTAGGGTCTCAGCTTCACTATCATACCAAATCATCCTCTGTTCCTCAAATATGTATGCATCTTCTCATCTTTAGAACGGCTTTCTGTCCTAAAGTAGCTTATCTGTTATTCTCCCTCTGGAAAAATCCTACTTATTCTTTTACATAATTTAAGTTTTGCCTCTTTCATGAGGCTTTCCCCAAACACCCTTTTCCCCTTCCAGTTGAATTATTAGTTTCCTCCTCTGGGCTTTTCTAGCATTTAATCATGACCTCCATAGTGCAGTATGATTAAGAGTGAAGTCCACTTGGTATGAATCCCAATGTGCCACTTAATTAGCATTGTTATATCTGGTGAATTATATAACTTATCGGAGCCTGAGTTCCCTCATCTATAAAGTGAGGTAATAATAAAACTGAGAGGATGACAGAGTGGACATATACTTAACATTCATCATAGCCTAGGGCATAGTAAACAATGTATGAGTTTCTGTTTTTATTATTTTTGTTACTGCAATTAACTTATTTTGCACAAACCTTTTCTTTTAAACTCTGATATCCTTGAGGGTAGCACTATAGCTTGTTTTTTTGTTCTCGTTAACAGTTTTCATCACCATTGCTTAGCATACTGTCCAGCATGAGGTAGAAGCTTTGTAAATTCTTGTTGAATGAGAGAAATAGGCTGAATAGAAGATACAAGTAAGCTGCAAATATCTAGGTGAGGGGTTCTTACATTTGGCTCATTAGAACAGCTGAGGGAGCTTAAAAATTATGATACTGGGATCTCACACCCAGCAATTCTGATTTAATTGGCTCCAGTTGTTGCCTGGGTAACTTGGGTTTACAAGTTTGTTTTTTTTTTTAAACTCCCAGTGTTTTTGCCTTCAATGTTGTGCTGTGGTAGCACTGTCTTGGCACACTCAGCTGGGGATTTACTCAGGACAATGTATCTATGTCCCCCCCTCCCCCTTATGGTAACTAACATATCCTACCTCTCTCAATCTGAGCATCTTCGTCATTCTTACAGAATAAAAATTCTACCAAAAATATTACATTACTTTAACATTCTATGTACTTGGCATTTAAAAACTATTATTTATGTTTATATTTCTCATTCTCTTCTTTCTGTCATTGTCATCTTCCACCCCAAAGTCATCCTTTCCTAGATTTTTCTATTAGTAGTCTCCACCCACCCCAATTCACATCAGTAAAACAGTACGTGTCCATTTGAATATCTGGAGGCCACAGCAAGTTAGTACATTTTCAATTGTGCTACAGCATTTAAAAAAATGTGACTGCATTTCCAGTGACTTATTCTTACCTATCAGATTTATGATTCAATGTAATATTTTGAGTATAGTCTGGATACGAGAGAAAGTAGACACCCTTTGGTGTATGAGAAGGCCCCATGTTGCTTGCTGAATCTCAAAGCATCCAATCTTTTTCTTCGAAGGAAATTATCAAGGTCGAAAGAGTTTTATGGACAAACTCCTGTACTGTTCCTTTCCTATGTTTTAAAACAGGATATTTAATTTAAACTGTGAATACTCATTTCTATGAAAAGTTAGCAGGAAAGCCATAGAAATTAGTGGAATGCTACTATATTTTCTGAGGTCCTGAATGGGGAGCACATCCTCCCTTTATGGTTAAATTAACTATTGATCTGCTTTTCAGCAACTTAAAAATATCACTTTGCTCCTTTAGTTTCAGAAGGCTAAGGAAAAGACTTTTCTGTGTTGGCGCTGGATGGTTGAACAGAGCTCATCAGCTCCCTCTCAGATTTGTAAAGCCCATTTCCCTGGGGCCCATGTCTCAAAAAGTAAATGAACTATGACTTCTGTACAGCAGGCATATTAAATATCACCCTTGACAAGCTGTCGCACTCAGTCATTACATGGGCAACTAACATAAATGCTGAAGCAAATAATTTCCAGTCCTTGGTGCTGAAAGTCTTCCTAGGCACCCTCGATGTGAAAGCATGAAATATTTTCCTTTACAGGAAGGAAAGTGTCTTGGTGATGTGGAAAATATTAAATGGTAGCACTTCTATTTTAATTAAACAGATGTATAGTAAAAAGCTCAGTCGTCTCTTCCAAGGAAGCAGTGGGCTCTCACACCTGACACCAGGAGACAGTGAGTCAGCCAGCACCACCTCCATGAGCACTCTGTTGGCAGAGGGATGCCCCTTCCATCAGCAGTTCCAACTTGCCCACGAGGAACTATTGAGACTGATTGGGAACCTCAGTCTAATCAGCCATTAAGAGCTGTGTTTTCTGAAATTTTCCATATGGCTTAATCATACAGAAAGGAATAATCAGTCTAGTATCCTTACCCCACAGTAGTCTGTCTGGCACTCTCCTATCCATCTTTGTGCTTGCTTTCACAGAGTAATAGTTTCCTTGGTGTAGACTCAACAGCAAGTCAATCAAAGTAGATACATTCAATAATTGTTTCAGATGGGAACTAAAGCAGTGAACAACTCAGCTGAAAATTTCTGCCTTTGTAAGGCTTGTAATATTGTGGTGGAAGGGGCCGAGATATTTAGTTATGAACGTACTGTCGCTGTGAGTCATAATGGAACCTTTTAGTAGGCAGGAGCGTTTAAGACTATCTTAAACCAAGATAGTCTCAGCTGAGGGTTGTGGGAAACTCAGGTAGATGGAGTAATCTAAATCACTAAGCCTAAAAGGGATTTGAGAACACTATTTGTTCTATCCGGGTTAATGGATATGTTAAGGGAGGTGGTCTAATGGCAGCCTTCCAGGAAGTGTCAATTCTCAGTAAGGGGAAATTTGTCTAGGAGAATAGTGGGGTCCTTCTTCCAATAGCAGGATTCAGGCTCAGTGAAAGGGACCAGAAAGAACTAGGTAAGGGAGTAATTGGAAGATCAGACTCCAACCCTATTCTTAGCATGACACTAGAAAAATAACATAGAAGGAGAAAGCTGCTCAGAACACCTGTCTGATACTGAGAGTTCAGTCAGGGCTGCAGACTCACAGCACACCCAGGTACTCTGGATTCCTGCTCAGGAATGGTTGCCCTTTCAGGTCATAAAAGAGACCTAGTCTTTCATGGCCTCTGTCAAAAGATATATTAATATAAAATCTCAGTCTCCACCTCAAGTGGTGAAAATTATAGACTATCTCCCATCCAAGTACTAAGTACTAACAAGGCCCGATCCTGCTTAGCTTCCAAAATCAGACGAGATCAGGTGCATACAGGGTGGTATGGCCACAGACGAATTATTGACTTTCTGCATTACAATGGCTGAAGTTTCCCCCCATGGAGAAATTCGAGTCATTTTTGGCCTCATAGTTAGCAAGTTAGTTATTTCATAATACCTCCATCATTTATATATGCATTTTCATTGAAAGTTTGAATTTGAGAAAAAATGACATTTATAATACATGACAAATCTATCATACTTTGTTTTCAGATTATGTGCCACATCATAAAGGAGGGCATATCCTGTATTGTGCTCTCCTTGAATTAATGAATCATCCAATTTCTCATTGTTCCACCCTCTTTATTTGGACATGCCCCATAAGTTACTTAGGACAATGTTACTTAGTACCTGTTATAAAACAACAGAAGTAAAAGCAAATTACTTACGTCCTTACAGGGACAGGCACAAAACTTTTAGTCTCTGTACTTTGTGCTACAAAAAAAATTTTACCTGAATAATTGTAGCTTCTATAGTCAATCTGATATGATTACACTGATGAATAAATCTAAAACTATGTCTGGTTTTCTACCCAGAAACTTATTCTACCATTGTTCTGTCTTCATGTTTATAACGAATTTCAAAGGTTACATTGTACCTAGTGTTTGCTCTGCAAATATTTCTGATGGTTTTGTCTAGAAACAATAAGATACATACTTAACAGCATGGTAAATACATTTTTTTTCCTAAAAAGTCTACATCAAGTACATTAAAAATGCTTCAAAACAAGCATAATTTTTATTAAAATTATCAAAATGTGATATTTTGGCATATAGAAAGGGGGTAGTTTACATAATCTCATGAGGGAAACTCACAGTATGAGGAGGGAAATAGAGCTTCACTAGTTTAGTCCCTGGCTAACATATGAAGGAAAAAAGAGAAAATATGGCAAATGGAGGCAGACAAGATTTGTTCCTGCTATAATTATTAACAGTTGGTAGATTAGAATATTGATAGTCGAAAAACGCTAGTCATTGCTCTTGGCAGGATACTCGATTGCTTTATTTCTCAGACATATTTTAGTTTCCTCAGGTAGTTACGAATAGTCAATTCATTTCCTTCCAGTGTCCTAATTGTTCAAAAAGTGATATGTTAGTGCAGCTCACT